ATATCACTGAGGTAGGGGAGACATGCTCAGTGTTGTTAGAAGTTAAAAAATAGGGGCTAGCGGGGCCAGAGAGACACTTCAGCGGTTAAGGCCTTGCATGCCGCTGACCCAGGTTCGATGCCCGAGATCCCATATGGTCCCTGATCCCCCTAAGCACAGAGTCAGATGTAAGTCCTGAGCACAGCCAGGAGTGGCCCAAAAACCCAAGGGAAAAAAAAACAGACAAACAAAAAACCCCATAACCGAACAACAAAAACAGAGACTAGAAAGAGAGAGTGAAGGAGGTAAGCTACTAGCCTGGCGTGCAGCCACTCCAGCCTGGTTCAACCATAACCCTGGTTTGCTCCACAGCACAGCATATGGTCCCCCGAGCACTGTCACGTGGAGTCCAACCACCTGAACACAACAAGAAGAAAAGTTAGGACACATTTCTGTAAGTGATGACATTCAAAAACTCTAGACAGCTGGCAGATTCATGCTCAATCTGGAATCTTCTCAGCCCAGGCTAGTCATTGTCTTGATTACATGCAAGTCTGGAAGGGTTGCCCGATTTTTAAAATTTGTTCTCTGAAAGAATCAGAAAGCCACATCTTAAGATAACATTTCCAGTATTTTCCAGGTGGAGTAAAAATTTGTTGAAAATAGTGGACCAAACAAAATCCACCGCTGGCTTGATAAGGGGAGTTGTTTATCGTTTCTGAGTCCCAACAGAATAAACTCTTCAAGCGTCCAATTTAGAACAGCATCTCTCTCGTTCACCACATGCCCGCTTCATGGACTGAACTAGTGCTTACAACTAGGCTGAAGAATTTGGAGAGACACCACTCCTGGGAATATATCCCAGAGAGGCAAAAATGTATAGTCGAAGTGACATCTGCACTTGTTTGTTCATTGCAGCGCTCTTTACAATAGCCAGAATCTGGAAAAAACCTGAGTGCCCGAGAACAGATGACTGGTTAAAGAAACTTTGGTACATCTGCACAATGGAGTACTATGTAGCTGTTAGAAAAGAGGATGTCATGAAATTCACATACAAGTGGTACTACATGGAAAGTATCATGCTAAGCGAAATGAGTCAGAAAGAGAGGGACATACATAGAAAGATTGCATTCATCCGGGGGATATAAAGTAACAAAATATGAGATTAATACCCAAGAATAGCTGAGATCAGCACCAGGAGCATTACTCCATGGCTTAGAGGCCAGCCGGGCATTCTAGGGGAAAGGGCAGCTCAGATAGAGAAAGGAGCACTAAATAAAGGGTGTTTGGAGGATCCTCCCAGGAGGGGAGATGCATGTCGAAAGTGGACTATGGACTGAACATGTTTGCCACTCAATGCCTCTTTTGCAGACCACAACACCCAAAAGGAGAGAGAACACAGGGGATTGCCCTGCCACAGAGACAGGGGGGATGGGGGGATGGGGGTGGGGGGATATTATCCATGGTGGTGGAAAATGGGCACTGGTGGAGGGATGGGTATCTGATCATTGTATAATTGAAACCAAAGCACAAAAAATTGTAAATCTACAACTGTAAAAAAAATAAAATAAAATAAAGGGAAAAAAAAAGAATTTGGAGAGACAACAAAACAAACCTGGAGATCTTATTCTGGACAAGTCTAGAATATCAATATTTCTGAATCTATATGTCTATAATCATCTATACCTATGTCTATAGCTTCCTCAATATAAACACAGGCAAGATAGTCTTCTCAAACTTATTAACATTCCCTAAACAGGGCCAGGGCTCAGCAAATACACTCCTATTGCCAGAAGTGTGGTTTGGAATAAAGCCTTCTTTAGTAATATAAGAAAATTTGAGACCCTATGTGATTAATTCCACATGCTACTATTTAGAAAAGAAGAAAGCACTGTTTCACTCTCTAAGGCAAAGAGCATTTATTAAGGAGCACACACCAACCCATGTCATAAGCAGCTTGCATTCTGTGGTCCTGTTTTTTCCTGGCTGGAAGGGAGTTCAGGAGCAAATTTACTGAAACTAGAAAATGTTCCTTCTCATTTGACAAATCAAATAAACTCATCAGTTCAGTCACCTGTGAGAAACCATTTAATGACAACAAAATTTATGTTCAAGTATATAGTTGCTTTACTGCAGTTATAAAAATTACCCTCATATGGATGCTTAGAAGTGACTGAAAGAATTTCAGTTGCACAAATTTTCAACTACTCTAGAATTCAAAAGATGATTATACATCTTTGGCATAAGAAGACAGTTCTCTGAAAATTGACATCAGTTTTCAGTTTTCCTCTACGCATTTTTTCCCAAGTGAAAACAAAAACAAAAACAAACATCTTTTTCACTCTTTTCAATAAAACCTGAGAAGGTGAGTCTTTAAGATATGGTCTAAGATCAAATTTTCTACTCTACAGGAAAGGCGGGAGCATGTCAGAATAATGGGCGCCCCAGATTTCCAGTGGGAAAGGTAATTTGCAGGTGTGGTTAAGGATCTATCCTTGACTATCTGGGTTAGCCCAATGTAATCGCAAGGAAATTCCTAAGTGAAAGAAGTCGAAGAACAGGCTGGAGAACATCTTAAGACAAAGGAGACGTGACACAAGGAAGCAGAGCTGGTCGGAGCTTTGGAGAAGGCAACCTCAAAATGCTGAGCGGGAAGAGAATCCAGATTCTCCCTTAGAAATTCGGGAGTAATAGTACAGAAGGCAGAAAGCTTTCTTTGCATGCAGTCCTCCTGGGTTCGATCCCCAGCACCACGCAGAGTCCCCTGAGTCCTTCAGGTGTGGTCCCTGAGTGCAGAGCCAGGAGTTGAGCCCTCAGCACCGCTGGGTGTGACCCAACAGCAAACAAACAACTTAGAGAAGAGCTTACTCCATCATAAAAATTGCAGTGTACTCCAGTCCTTCCAGCCATCCCCAAGTCCTCTTCTTACCTTTTATAGCCTACTTGTAAATCTGTATGCCTGATTCGTCAAATGAAAAATCACTATGGATTCAGATATCACTGTATCACTGTCATCCCGTTGTTCGTCGATTCACTTGAGCGGGCTCCAGGAGCGTCTCCATTCATCCCAGCCCTGAGATTTTTAACATCTTCTCCTGACTCGTCTTTCCCAACTCTGCCCTATTGGAGGCTCTTTCAGGGTCAGGGGAATGAGACCTGTTATTGTTTTTGGCATATCGAACACGCCACCAGGAGCTTGCCAGGCTCTGCCGTGTGGGCGGGAAACTCTCGGTAGCTTGCCGGGCTCTCCGAGAGGGGATTCAGATATACTTGTTTCAAATTCCAGCTTTTCTTTATCTTTTTCTTTTTTTCTTGCCTCATAATCTTCAGCAGATCATGGAGCCCCTGGACCATGGCTCGTTCTCATCAGTACAATTGGAGAAATAGTTTTATGAAGTATGATGGACCTAGGGAGTGATGCCATGTCAGGCACGTGGCAGACATACAACAAATATAAAACATACATAAAACTCTTCATCTACTGCAGAGAACAGGGAACATTTTGCCATTAGACAGGAAAGTGGGAGCTAGACAATAAAGTCAACTGGCACCAATCTGTAAATTCTACAAGTGCCACCACAACTGAGGGTTAAGTCTAGCTTTTAAGTGCGTGGTCAATTTGAAAACCTATTTTCAATTTGCCTATGTTCTCATTTCTCCGTCATTTCTAAGCACGGACTCAAGCAATGACTGCCCAGGTATGACACTGCAACCCATCCGGAACTGCAAGTCACACCTAACCAAATAATGTCACAATCAAGGGCATTACTGATTGTGAAATTTTAAATTTTTAAAATTTATTTTTAAAAATCTGAAGAGGGGAAAAGCTGCAGTCTAAATTGGATGTGCATATGGTCTACACCGTTGAATAAGGGAAGTCATTCTCCGCACCTACACTTTTAAAGTAAGATTGCTCTCATTGGGGAGGGGGGGGCTGTTGGGGGGGAGGGGGCGATTGGTGGAAAGTGTGTTGATGGTATTGACAGAACTGGTATTGCCGGCCTTGTACACCAAGGTGTCTGAAAGAAATAATGAGATTCACAGTATCTAAGACGAGTTTAAATAGCCCAAGCAGGGGCTGGAGCAATAGCACAGCGGATAGGGTGTTTGCCTTGCACGCGGCCAACCCGGGTTCAATCCCCAGCATCCCATGTGGTCCCCCGAGCACCGCCAGGAGTCATTCCTGAGTGCATGAGCCAGAAGTAACCCCTGTGCAATGTCAGGTGTGACCCAAAAAGCAAAAAAAAAAATTAAATTAAAATCAAGGAGGAGGCAACCAATTTAAATAAATAAATAGCCCAGGCCCTGAGTGCAGAGCCAGGAGTAACCCCTGGGCATCGCCGGGTGTGTGCCAAAAAGCAAAAAATAAGATTAAAACAAAGGAGGAGGCAAGCAATTTAAATAGATAGATAAATAACTAGACAGCCAGCCAGCCCCGGCCAAGGGGATGCGTTCTGGCTGGGGCGGCGCCAACAGCCACGACATCAGGACCAAGGGAACGTGGCCTCCTCTCCAAGGCCGATCACTGCAAAGGAAGCTGCAGGAGGTCGGGCTGGCCGGCTGGCCGGCCTCGGGCGGGCGAGGGGCACCCGGAGCGCTTTCCCTGCCAGCTGGACGGACACTGCAGGCGGCGGGACGGTGCAGGCGGGCCGGCCACGCAGCGCCGCTGTCCAGCAAGTCTGCAGTGGCTCCTCCCCACTCCTCCCCCACCGGGCCCTGAGGCCTTCGGCTAACGGGGTGGGGGTGGGGGTGGGGGGAAAGAGGGGGAGGCGGAGGGGGAGGGGGCGGCGGAGGGGGAGGGGCGTCCTCCCCGGCCCGGGCCCGCGCCCCGTCCGGCCCCGCGCCCAGCCAGCTGCCACGCAGCCGGGCTCCCTTGCCCTTCTCCGGGCGCGCGGCTTCCCGCGGCGGGTCTGCGCACGCGCCGGCGCCGGGGGGCGGGGCCGGGGGCGGGGCCGCGCGCCTGCGCAGGCGCGGAGCATGCGCGGTGCGCGCGCCGGGCGCCGCCGTCCGGGAGCGAGTTCCGGGTCGGCGGCGCGTGCGCGGGGAGCGGCCGGGACACGCGCGGACGCGTCGCGGGGGACGGCGCGGCATGGAGTGCGGCCTCGCCGAGACGGACGTGCTGGAGGCGCTGGAGGACCTGGGGTGAGGCCCCCGCGCCCCGCGACGCCCCCCGCCCGCGCCCCCCGCCCCGCGTGGCCCCGCGCGGCGGCCCCGAGGCGACCCCTCGGGCCCCGGGGACCCCGCCGGGGCCCCCCCACGGCCTCCACGCAGCCCCACGCGGGTCCCTCGGGGCCCCCCGCAGCCCCCCGCCCACCCCCGGGGACCCCCACGGCCTCCCGCAGCCCCCCGAGGACCCCCGCCCGCCCCCGCCAACCCCCAGGGGCCCCCCGCGCACCCCCAGGGCCTCCCGCAGCCCCCCCAGCCGCCGCCTCGCGTGACCCCCCGCGACCCCCGGCCCCGAGCTGCGGGGACCCCCGGACGCGCCCCGGCACGGCCGAGCCCCTCGCCTGTGTCCCGACCTTCCCCACCGACCCCCGCGCCCTCGCCTGCAGGGGGGCGCCGGGCAGTGCTGCGGACCTGGGCCAGAGCCTGCCCGGGAGTCGCGGGGAGATCTGGGGAGGACCGGGGGTGGGGGTGGGGGTGGGTGGGCCACACCCGGGGCCACACCCGGCGGTGCCCGGGGGTCGAACCTGGGTCTGGGTCGGCGGCGTGCGAGGCCGGCGCCCGCCCCGCCGTCCCGCCGCACTGGACCCGCAGAGGTGGGGTATGACCCTGGGGTGTCCCCCCGGCGATGCCCAGGGGTCCCTCCTGGGCTCTGCCCGGTCATCGCTTCTGGCCGTGCCCCGGGGACCATATGGGATGCCTGGGACGCCCTCCCCGCTGCGCCCCTCCTGCACGGGGGTCGGGAGGGTTGGACACCCGGGAGTCCGGAGGGTTGGGTGCCCCAGGGTCAGGAGGGTTGGACACCCGGGGTCAGGAGAGTTGGACACCCGGGGGTCAGGAGGGTTGGACACCCGGGGGTCAGGAGGGTTGGACACCCGGGGGTCAGGAGGGTTGGACACCTGGGGGTCGGGAGGGGTGGACACCCGGGGGTCGGGAGGGTTGGACACCCGGGGGTCGGGAGGGTTGGACACCCGGGGGTCGGGAGGGTTGGACACCCGGGGGTCGGGAGGGTTGGGTGCCCCAGGGTCAGGAGCCCGGGTGCCCAACCACTGAACCGACTTAGCATAGCCCATGTATCATTTTTAATCATAAGGAAGCTGAAATAATCTCCTAAAGAAAGAAGGTTTTTTTTTTTCCTTTGGGGAAATCACATAATTTCTTTTCACGTGGAGAGAACGGAATGGGCCATGAGGGGTGAGTTTGACCTGGTCCTTGCCGCGGCTTTTTATGCCGGTGTCCACCCGGAATGCTGCTGTGATGGTAGGCTGCTCCTTTCAATAAAACGTTTTTAAAGACTCTTAAAATCACTTGGGAGAATGACACGTTCTCTCGTTCGAGCCGTATTCCAGATTATGGCGTGTGATTGCTGCTGTCCTCAACGAATGTCCAGACGATCATTTGCCTAATTACGTGAATCACAGAGGATTAGGGTTCAGTTGTGCTGACATCGGCGAGCACTGGTCGGTCTTGACTTTTCTCTCCGTAACCTGGTGTACGTTACCAGCCTTAACTGCCGTCAAATATAGAAAAAAAAAAAAAAGAAATGATCAATTGGGAGATGAAATATTAAAAGGGAAAATTATCAGATGATTTCATTTTGCTTTGGAATAAAGTCACAGAAACTCACATGTAACTACCTGCTTTCTGGAAAACTTTTTGGGGGAAAAAACCATCTGTTTTGGAAAGAGCAAAGAGCAGTAGATTTGGCGACCACTTGTGAATCTGGCTCTAGTCCTCAGTGCCGTTAAACCAGAACATAAACCTAGCCCAGCTTTCTGTAAGTGCGCAGAAGCCGACACAGGCTAGGGTGCGAGTGACATACAGGTCAACTTTCTGGAGGCTGAAATGCGGTCGCCGTTCCGCGTCCTTTTCCTGTCCCGTGGTTCAGCGTAGTTCCAAGTGTGGGGCTCGGCCTGGCTCCTTGATGAAGCCGCCATCGCCCAAGACCCTGCGTCGGTCTGCTGTGTCTGCAGAGCGGCCGAGTGATTTCATCTTCTGTGTGTGCGGTTTCTTGCTCGCAGTTACAAGGGGCCCTTGTTGGACGATGCGGCTCTGTCCCAAGCAGTCTCCGCCGGGGCCACTTCCCCCGAGTTCACAAAACTTTGTGCCTGGCTGGTGTCGGAGTTAAGAGGACTTTGCAGACTGGAGGAAAATGTGCACGCCACTAACAGTAAGTAACTCTTCGGTCTGGCGCAGAATACAAAAATTGGGGCGTCATTCGGGAACAGTGCCGGGTTCGAGTTCATTGTAAGTACACGTGAAGGGTAAAGGAGTCAAATGTTTCTTTTCCTCCATTATTGTTAAAAAAAAAAAAGAGGGGCTGGAGTGATAGCACAGCGGGGAGGGCGTTTGCCTTGCACGCGGCCAACCCGAGTTCGATTCCCAGCATCCCATATGGTCCCCTGAGCACCGCCAGGAGTGATTCCTGAGTGCAGAGCCAGGAGTAACCCCTGGGCATCGCTGGGTGTGATCCAAAAAGCAAAAAAAAAAAAAAAAAAGACCCGGTGGTTCTGAAGTTGGACGACAGAGACCGTAGCCTTGCGAACCATGAAAACTCTAGCAGCTGAAAGACGCTAGTGGTGGTGGTGAAGACCCGCGCTTCGGAAGGACATGAGGCCCCATAGGCCCCATCTGAAACTGGTGGCGAGAGCTAGAAGTTGGGGTGGTTTTCTGCTGGGGCCGCCAGGTCCCGGAAGCACCTGTGCTGTGCGCCGCAAAGGCGCACCGGGCACGGGGCCGCTTGGTGAGGAAGCGCCTGTGCCGCCCACTCGTCTCTCGGCCTGGGTACGGCCAGACCCGGCACCCTCAGGTGCGCGGGGAGGGGGGGGAGTGGGCTTTTGCCCGGGCCTTCCGCACTAGTGTGTGGATTTCGCGCAAGAGACAAAAGCCTGGAACCTGACACTCTGCCATCTGCCCTGCCTGGCAGGTGAGCCTAGACTCGGAGACGGAGGCAGGGGCCCACCTCGCGCCCACCCTGACGGAAAGCTCGACAGCACCCCTCGGTCTCCCCTTGCACGGGATTCCGTTCTCGCTATTCGGGGCTGGGGCGGGCTGCACAGCCGCTTTCCCCGCGGCACCGCCTCTCGGGCCCCTCGCCAGACTCGGGCTTTGTTGCTGGATCCTCAGCCCTGGCCCTGTGCTGGGGGATCACTCCTAGGGGGCCGGACCCTTGGTGCTGTCTCCCGCCTCAGGCCCCGTCTTGAGAGCGCCCTGGAGCCAGTTCCCTGGGTCCTGAGAGAGGGGCCCAGCCTTGGACTCACTCCGGGCCAACCCCCCCCAATCCCTGGTGGGTTTTTGTTTTTTGTTTTGTTTTGTTTTTGCTTTTTGGGTCACTCCTGTCAATGCTCAGGGCTTCCTCCTGGCTCTGCACTCGGGAGTCACTCCTGGCAGTGCTCAGGGGACCATATGGGATGCTGGGAATCGAACCCAGGTTGGTCACGTGCAAGGCAAATGCCCTACCCGCCGTGCTATCTCTCCAGCCCCCTTTGTTGTTGTTGTTGTTTTTAACTATTCTAAATTTCAGGGCTCAGAGGCAGATTTTTATTGCTTCTTACGTGTCTAGAGAGGCCGCTTGAACACCTCGCCTGGGGCCTTGCAGTAGCTGGGATTCAGCCCTTGGGCCCTCCCACCTCTGCACTGGCCCTCGGCGCCGGTGATCTTTGCAAACCTCCCCTAAATGCTAGTGGTTCCTGAGTCTCTGCTCCAAGGGAAACCTTCTAGAACTAGAACCGGAAAAGCGAGGACCATCCCGGCAGAGTTGAGGGACGGGGGGTTCACGGCGCCCCGGGTGCAGACAACGTTGAGACACTTTCCAGATGAGCGCGGGGGACTCGGGTCTGCTGGCCGGCGTGCTGGTGGGGGAGGAGGCCTGAGACGGGGGACAGACTGTTTCTACCCCCGTGTCCTTGCCCTCCCTCCACGGAGCCCACTGATGGACTGCTCACATGCGGCTCGGTGTGACGGGGACCCGCGCAGGCCCGAAGTGCTCTGCTGCTCCGAGGCGCCCAGCCAGACGTGGGCCAGGGCTGCTGAGGTGGGGACCCCCTGGGGGCCCCGTGGCGGAGGTGCTGCTGGTGAGGCTGGTGGGCCAAAACCAGGTGGAAGCTGCCGCCGCAGGCCGCAGGGCAGGGGAGGGGGCAGTGTGCCGGGTAAAAGCCCCGTTCCCATTAAATGAGATGCGTTTCGTTCTCCCAAGGCCCCGGGGAGGCCGAAGGATTCCAGCTAGAGGTGAGCGGGCTCCTGGGAGAGATGAACTGTCCCTACGTCGCCCTGACCTCCGGGGACGTGACCAAGCGCCTCCTCGTCCAGAAGAACTGCCTCCTCCTGCTCAGTAAGTGCCTGGCTCCCAAGCAGCGGGTCCTTGGCTTGGCGCTCTCCCGAGGCTGCTGCCCCGTCGTTGCCGCCGCGTTTCACTCTGGGCTGGGTGCAGAAGATCCCTTAGTCTCGAGCAGACTTGAGTTTCCGGCCGAGAGACCGGCAGTCGGCCTGGGACGTGTCCTGCCATCCGTCGGGCCGCGGGCCGAGCCTTTGGGAGGAGAAGCACGTCTCAACAGACTGGGAGGGTAGCGTGAGGATCACGGAGGGTTTGTCCTGTTGCTCCGGCCCGAGAGGTTTTTCTCTGCACCTAGACGAGGGTTTCTGGGACCGACGCAGCCCCAGTGTTGGAAGTTCCGTTTTCCAAAGTGTCTCCGTGGCCGTGACAGCTGGGCAGTCGCTCGCTCCAGGACCTCCTGCCTCGCTTCCTTGGCGGGTGCTGGCTGCTGGGACGCCGCCGCGGGCCTCGGTGTGGAGCGTCCTGGCTGGGGCTCGTGCTCTGAGCCTTCGCCGTCGCCTCACGTACCCTTCCCGGCTCCTCGTGGGCACTGGCAGCGTGTCACCTTACAGCAGTGGGAGCTTAGAAATGACCCTGAGTGCCTCATGCTGCCTAGCTCAGGGTGCGGCCTTTTTACTGCCAATATTGGGGCGGGGTGGGGGGAATGATTACAAATTCACACAGTCAAGTCTCTTTCTTGATTTGAGAGGGGGCGGGCATGGGGGACTCAAGCTCAGGGCCTCACACATGTCGTGCAGGTGCTCTGGTGCTGAGTCATATTCTTGGCCCGTGTCTTTCCTGTTTTATAGGATATTCGTGGCCATAATGACAAGCTCCATTTTACTTATTTTTTATTAGGGTTCCTTTTTTTGGGGGGGTGGAGGGGCACACCTGGCTCTGTACTCAGGAATCACTCCTGGTGGTGCTCAGGGGATCAAACGGAAGACCGGGGACGGGACCCGGCCGGGCACATGCCGGCCCCGCACCTTGTCCCCCCCGCGAGCTTTATTTCAGACGTGTCCTTGCTTCCCGAGCTTGTGCAGAATTACGAAAGGGCCGCATCAGAAGTCGCGTGTTCTTCCTGCGCTCCTCGCTGCCTCCTGCCCTGCTCCCGCCCCGTGTCCTGTCTGAAGTTTCCTCCGGGCTTCTCCCTTCTGCCCTTTGTGCAGTTCCCATGTTTCCAGTCCCCCGCACTGCACAAGTGTCTCGTCTTTCCCAGTGTCGGTTGGCGTCTCGTTGCCACGGCTTTGCCTGCTTCTCTCGGCACTCTCACCTGTCTGATGGAACCTCTTCGTACTTCGTGTTCTGAGGGGATGGAAAAAAATAAGCCAGCACCATCAGAATGACTCGTGACGTGGAACGGTCTTTGACCGTCTCGGCTGTGACGCCGAACTGGGAGACGGGGGCGTGTCCGAACCGTCTGGGCTCTTCACTGGCCTCCGTGGCTTCCCTCGGGCGGGTGTCAGATCCCCTCCTGGGCGGGAGCAGGGAGGGGGTCTCTCCGTGTCCTCGTCACTCCGCAGTCGGCGCTCTCTAGCGAGAACCGGGCTTGTTGCCTACCTCCCGCCTTCCCAAGCACTTCCAGCACTTGGCTGTTAATGGTTTGGGATGCTGAGTGTATTGTTGAACTAATTTTGCGGCTCTCGGAACTGTTTTGTCCCACTGCGAGAACCCACTCGTTAAGTCCCCTAACGTGTCATTTTCTGGAACGAGAGTTGGCAAACTTCTAGGGGCAGACAGCCAATACTCTTGGCTCCGTGGGCTCGAGATCTCTGTCACAGTCACCTCTGCTGTTCAAGCATAAACGCAGCCTCAGACTGTGAAGGACCACGACATTGTCAGACTGACAATTTGCAGAAGAAAAGCGCTGATCGGTTCTCCCATGACGGTGGGCTTGACTGCCGGTTTGGACGGTGTCAGACACATTCACAAAGCCCTGCCCAGGAACTTGGCTGCGCCCAGTGCTCTGACCCCGGTTAGCTGAAGTTGTGGCCCCTCTCCTTGCAGCATGACACGTGGCGGTCGTAGAGAGTCCTTCTTTCGACTTCTGAAGGGGATTTAAGAGGCTGGGAAACGTCTTTTCCGAAACTCCCCCGATGGATCGTGCTCTGTCACCTAACCTGAAACCCTGCAACTCAGTGATGATCAATCGTCTCTTTAAAAGTTGCAGTGTCCTTGGACAGTGTAGTGGTAGATGAGGTCGTGCCTTACCTGGCTGAAAAGTCTGCGTGCGCGGATGGTGCTGGCTGAAGAAATCGGCTGAGAAGCGATGCGTTAGGAAGTTCGCCTCTTTTCCTTTGGGAGGGGGGCAGGGAATTTTGAGAGTCTACTAGGATTTCACAGAGCCTGGGAAAAGAATTCAAGGCGCTAGTGCCGTTCCTACTAAGTAAACTCGGCTCAGCGGCCGAAAGGTGGAGCTTCGTGCCAGTTCTCAGTGACCTGCCCCAAGAGGGCAAGAGGGAGAGACCACACCCTTGTGTGGGGGTGGGGGTGAGAATCCCAGCTTTCCTGCGTGATCTTCCTTCCTCGCTTGCTTTCAAGGAAGTATTTCTTGCTAGAGAAGCCATTAGCCGTTCACTGAGTAAATAACAGAGCCCGTTTAAGTGCCGGATTACTGGCGGCAGAAATGGTTTTCCTTTCTTGTTCCTGTCCATTCTTGCAGCTTAAAAGTGCACCTCCCGTGGAGGGAGCCCAGAGCTGTGACTCGGGCCCTCTGTTCCTCGCCGCTGCATCTCACGGAAGCCTTCTCCTGTTCCCCCAGCGTACCTCATCTCGGAACTGGAAGCTGCCAGGATGCTGTGTGTGAATGCGCCGCCGAAGAAAGCTCAGGAAGGCGGCGGGAGCGAGGTCTTCCAGGAGCTGAAAGGCATCTGCATCGCTCTCGGAATGTCCAAGCCTCCCGCCAACATAACTATGTTCCAGTTCTTCAGCGGAATCGAAAAGAAAGTAAGCCCTTTCGTTCCTACCAGGCGGTGGTCATGAGTCAAAGGCCTAGTTCTCTGTTCCTCTGTGATGAAGCGAGTTCATTCAGTTCGACCTAGCGTGCATGTTGGGTTTTAAGTCTTTGGTACATCACAGAGAAATTCACGTTTTATTGTGTAGAACATATCACCGTCTTTTTCAAATACAGATAAATTTCATTTTGAAGTCGAAATAAGCCAGGAGTAACACATTAAGGATCGACGATTTGAATCATTTTAAGTACTGAAATTTGGTGCAGTTGATCTGTAATATGGGGGGCGGGGAAGGGGCACACCCAGAAGTGCTCAGGGACGACTCCTGGCATTGCACTCAGGAGTTGCTGCTGGCAGTGCTCGGGGGACCTTCTCTGTGCCGGGGATGCAGCCTGGGATCGTCACATGTGGGGCAAACGCCCTGCCCTCTGTACTGTCTCTCCGGCCCTTGGTGTTTAATTTCTTACAAGATTTAAGGACTTTCATCCGTAAATGCTGCCACCACTCCCCTCCGTTGCCTGTCCATAGAAGAATTTACTAGAGACGAGTTTTGGTGGTTTCCGTTTGTTAGGGGGCTCTCCCCAGTTCTGCTGAGGGCGCCTCGGGGGTCTCAGGAGGAGATCCTCCTTGGCGCTCCCAATATTTCTGGTTTAAATCCAGTCACGGTGAGCCTCAGATGTTTCTGTTGGCAAACTAGATGTGTTAGTTGCTGATATGCTCTAGCGTGCAAAGGTAAGTCGGAATCATGTTTGTGCCACCCATGCCCAGTGCTTGGAGGGGCGGTTCCGTATGATGGAGCGGGCGTGCACAGGGCTGATCGAGAGCAGGAGCGGTGTGTGTTGTGCCCGCGCTTTCCCGTCTGCCTGCCTTCCCACCATCCTCTGGAATGCCTGTGGTTGTCTCAGCGCACGAGAGGACACCGGGACGCTCCAATTTGACTGCCCCGCATTTCGGCTTTTCCAGAGTCTGTGTGGATCTGCTCGGCAGCCCTGCGGAGTGCCCGCCGCTCCTGGGCCCGTGTGGCCGCAGGGCTGGCATCCCGCCCCACAGGGCCCCCGCCCGAGCCTCGGGGCCTGCAGGTGTCTGTGCTACCGTGTGGCTCTCGTGCGTGCCGGAACTGCTTCCTCCCTTGCTCTCGGCAATCCTTCACGGCCAGAGAGGACGGGACTTGGGGAGGGAGAGTCCATTTTGTACGTCTGTGTGTTCACTTAGTTTTGTTTTTGTGCCAGTTAAAGGAAACGTTAGCGAAAGTGCCGCCTAATCACGTGGGAAAGCCTTTACTGAAGAAGCCGATGGGCCCCGCCCACTGGGTGAGTAGTGGTCAGCTGCCTGTGGGACACGCGTCTCTGCCCATCGGGGGTGGGGCCAGAGTCTCCAGTCACATCGGGGTCCTCGGAGAACCATCCGTGGCACCTGGCATCAGGCTGGGCTTGGCACGTGCTTTGCCCCCTGGCCCCGAGTTTGTACTTGTCCCTTGAATTTCTTCTCCATTTTTTGGGCCACTCTTGGTGGTGCTCGGGGGACCCTCAGGTCTGGCTCCGTCAAGTGCCAGGCAAAAGCCCTGTCCACGGTGCTGTCGCTCCAGCCTCCTGGATCTTCTGATACGTTGTTTTCTTGGTAGACATCATTAGACGCATTTTAGAAGTCCTAAGGCGCATGCGGAGTGATTTTTATTTGATCGTGATTAGGGGCACTTTCCTTATCATTGCAAATAGCTCACACAGCAGATGAAGATAAGTGCTCTTCATTGTGTTGCTGTGTGATGGCCAGCCGAACCTGCTCTGGTCTGGGCTTCGCGTGGCGCCACGTGGAAAACTAAAATAAGGAGTAAGGCGTTTCTTCTCTACAGACTGACTGTCACGGTTTAAAAAAAATATTTATTGATTTATTTGGTTTGGGGCCACACCCAGCAGGGCTCGGGGCTTTCTCCAGGCTCTGTGCTCGGGAATCGCTCCTGGCAGGCCCCGGACCGGAGGGGGTGCTGGGAATCAACCCGGATTGGCCATGTGCAAGGCAGACACTCGGCCTGCTGTACGCTCGCTCCGGTCCGTGTTTATTTTCAGTGAAGCAAGATGGTTTTCATGGGTCAAAACCTGTTTAAGATGGGAGGGGAGAGGAAGAGAGGGAGCACGGTCTTCTTGGGTGGAAAAAGCAAGCGAGCAGTGATACATAGAAACAAGCGCCGTGTTTATGGGGGGTTCGAGAGCCTCAGGTAGGTGTTGAGACAGTAGATTTTGCCTGTCATTTCCTTAACTTAATGTCCTCGGACACTTAACGCTAGGTGATTTGCTTCGTAGTAAGTGGGTGGAACGTGCCCTTTCTTTCCTTGGGACTGACTTTCAGTTCTCACTGGTCTTTCCAACTTGGTTTCAGGAAAAGATAGAAGCGATTAACCAAGCCATAGCCAACGAGTATGAAGTTCGGAGGAAGCTGCTGATAAAGCGTTTGGATGTCACCGTCCAGTCCTTTGGCTGGTCGGACAGAGCTAAGGTACGCGGCCGGCGATGGCAGAGCCAAGCGTCTACCGACCCGGTCCTTAAACATTCCTCGCTTAGATACCGGGGGAGGCAGAGACGTACCAGGAGGCTCGGAGGAATTTCTCTTGACTGAGTTGCGGAGGAACCGTGCTTTCCGCTCTTCGGCAGAAAAGGAAAACATTGGTTTTTCACACCTTGAGATCTCGCAACAGAGTGTCTCAGCCTACTAGAAGTCCTTATTTCATGAGAGAACTGGAGAGAGTGTCTGAAGGTCACATAATGTGATTATTCGTTTGCTATCCATGTAAAATTCTAATGTGCTAATTAAAGTTAGAAATGCTAGAATTACGAAGACCAAATAGCATAATCTATAGTAGAGAATTAGAACACCTGGTGAGACTGACGTTTCCTTTCTGCCGAAATAAAATGGTCCAGGTCGTGTCTTGACACAGCTGGGCTTTCGGCTGAAACCCGGGTACAGCCTCTCAGCTTCCCTTTTCCTCTCCTCACTTTTGATATTTTGTAAAGTGCCCTCTTGTTCTCCGCGGTACTTTAATTCTTTATAACTATGGGAGAACGTGCTAGGTAAATAACTTTATATTGTTGATGATACGGAGAGACTACGCAGATTGCTTAACTGCTCTTTTGTCTTAGTGAAGTTCTCGCTGTGCTATCATACTTAAGGATTTCATTTTAATCACTGCAAGTGCTCTGATCTGCACAAAGAAAAACTTTAATTTTGCATAATGACATTTATGCTTAGTTTAGATTGTAAAATTTTACATTGCTTTTGAAATATGAAGCCATTTCATCAGAGGTGTGTGATTTAATAAATGAGCACAAGTTGTAGCTGTAAGAAAACATACTTGGGAACCCGTGGTGGGACAACCTCTAAATGTCTTCTGCTCTTGGCATATTTGGTGTGTTTTGAGGGATTTTAAACTTTGTTTTTGTTTGTGAGGGGCTCCCCAGCAGTGCTCAGGAGGCCCCAGGACTCCCCCAGTGATTCCTGGACAACTGGGCCTGCCGTTCAGTGCAAGGTCCCAGGACATAGTGCGCACAGTCTCGGGGTCACTTGGAGATTGCAGGCCACGCGCTGCCCGAGCCAGTGCTTGGCCGGCTCTGCCAGACATTGCCTGAACCCTTGCGCTATCCTGGCCCAGGGCTTGGGCCTGGGGCCTCACCCAGCAGTGGGGAGTCTCGTGGACCAGACCCCAGGAAGGCAGAGTGGAGACGAAGGCCCTGGTGGCACTGCCGTCCTAAGCCCAGGGTCCGTTTCCCTCGTGAAGGCTGCCTTCCTTTACATGTGTAATCGCTGGCTGTGTGTCATCATGGTCGACCTGTTCGGACATTCTGGCTCCCACCACCACCGCGATTTAGCCTAAATTTTCACCACCAATATTCGAGTACCTCTTCCGAAATTTAGTAGCTAAGGCAATTGCTGTTAACCCCATTGCTTGTGTCTTTATGTGTCAGATTTACACTCTCGTGTGTGAGCACCCTCTTTATCCTTTGTTTGGGGCACACCCAGCAGTGCTTCAGACTGGCTCAGTCACTCCTGGTGGGCTCAGGGACCGTGTCACGTGCAGGGGATCGAACCCTGGTTAGCCCGCACAAGCAAGGCCCTGCTTTCTGTGTGTCACCCCGACCCTCACCTCCCTTTTGTAGAATGTATTTCAAAGGCACTTAAAGGACTTGCCCCGTATTCCTGATTTCCCAGTGATCGTATCTCTTGATTCTGGACACTTGAGTCATAATTGGACATCTACAGAGTGGTCAAAAGCAGACCCTTTTAGTTACTAGTAGAAATAGGAGAGGAAAATAATAATTGAGGACACTGCTTTGCAAATGATGCGTCGTGCTAACTATAATTTGTACCAAGTTCATCTCTAGTGAGCAAATGAGGGGAAATTGAAATGTTGTAAACGTGTAAAAAGAGGAATGTGCTTGATCTGAGAGCCATTGCCAGGAATCCGTTTTTCAGCACGCCTTTCACGTCCTGGGTGCTAGGGAAGCCCCTCGGCCCCGTCTCCCTCCTTGCCCGCCGCCTCTGCCCACTTCATCTGGAAAACAGACAGGGGCAGGGCTGCACCGGGCAGGAGCAGTGAGGAGTGTGGAACCTCCCCCCCCCTTTCTGGAGCCTGGAAGCCCGCTGGGACACTGGAAATCTCTGACTTGTCCACTGCTTGTTTCGGCATCGTCCCTGACATCTCTTTGGTCTCCCCACAGAGCCAGACGGAGAAGCTGGCCAAGGTGTACCAGCCCAAGCGCTCCGTCCTGTCGCCCAAGAGCGCCGTTTCGGTCGCGCACCTGCTGGCGGCCCGCCAGGACCTGTCCAAGATCCTCCGGACGAGCAGCGGGTCCCTCCGGGAGAAGACGGCCTGCGCCATCAACAAGGTGACCGCGCGCCCCCGCCCCGCCCCGCCCCGCCGGGCGTCCCCGGCCCGGCTCCCCGCGCTCACGTGTCCCTGTGTCCCGCAGGTGCTGATGGGCAGGGTGCCCGACCGCGGGGGCCGGCCCAACGAGATCGAGCCGCCGCCCCCCGAGATGCCGCCCTGGCAGAAGCGGCAGGACGGGCCCCAGCCGCCGGCGGGCGGCCGCGGCGGCGGCAGAGGCGGCTACGAGCACTCGTCGCACGGCGGCGGCGGGCGCGGCGGACGCGGCGGCTACGACCACGGAGGCCGCGGGGCCGGGCGCGGCGGGGGCAAGCCCCCGGGCGGCTGGACGGACGGCGGCGGCGGCTACCAGGACGGCGGCCCCCGGGACGCGGCCTTCCCGCCCGGCGGCTACCACGGCGGCTACCAAGGCGGCCACGGCGGCTACCAGGGCGGCGGCGGCTTCCCGCCCGCGGCCTACCCGGGCGGCGGCTACCAGGGCGGCTACCAGCAGGAGGGCAGATACCAGGAGGGCGGCCACCACGGCGAGCGGGGCGGGCGCGGGGGCCGCGGCGGGCGTGGGGGGCGCGGCGGGCGCGGGGGCCCGGGCGGGGGCTGGGGCGCCCGGGGCGGCCAGAGCTACCACCAAGGGGGCCAGTTCGAGCAGCACTTCCAGCAGGGCGGCCACCAGTACAACCACTCCGGCTTCGGCCAGGGCAGACACTACACGAGCTGAGGCGGCGGCCGGACCCCGGCCCGCTCGAGCTCACCTAATAGAAACTTAGGATCAGGGTTTGGAACTGGGCGGCGGCTTTGGTGGGCGGGAGACCCCGGGCGCCAGGCCCGCGGGTCTCCCACGGGCTCGCCTGCTGCGGTGCGGAGCGCGGGCCCCTCTCCTCCAGGAAGTTTTTGACACAGGTGATGGCCTTGAACCCACCCCTAGACTGACCTCACAGTCGACACCCGTCCCTGATGTGGGGGGTCGGGGGCGGGAAGTGACTTGACGTTTCCGTGTTGTCAGTGCGCAGATCTGAATGCGGAATCACCCAGACTTTTTTTCCAGGTCGACCACTAGGGAGCCCTTCTTGCAGTCAGTTGTTTTCTGTGTGTTCTCCTTCGGGTGTTCTAAGACCCGTTTTCCCCGCCCCCGGGGACTCTTCGTGCTCCGAGAGGTCACGCCGCCACTCTTGCTCGGTCACAGGACTGTTCGGTCTGTTCCTATTAAATGAGCTCGTCTGCAGCTAGCACATCCAGTAGCCTTATCCTTGGGACGGAAAACTGTACCCCGCGTGCAACTCTGAAGCCCCCGAACTCGCAGCCAACACCCCTCAAGACCTTACAGGCCCACTTCGGTGGTGAACCTCTAGAACACGTAGGCGTTTAGTTAAGTGTAGCGACTCCGACTGACCGGACTCGAAACAAGTTCCTCTCCCGGCCCTTCGTTTTACTTGAAGCACGCGAGAAGAAGCGGCAAACTGCGATTTGTTTTCTGCACGAGTTCACGCCACTGGCCCCGCGGATACACGGTGGTTGCTTCGGGCGGGAGACCTTTTTCGTTGCCGTGGAAGAGATGCACTACAAGGTCACAGAACCGGGACCCGGGTGTGCTCGGTGCGGGCGGCCCTTCTTACTGCTGCAGAAAACGGGAGCCGGGCTGCGCTGGTGGTTCACGGTCTCCTTCACAAAGCCCGCAGGACGCTCCTGGCTGGGTTTTCCTGTACACGCACATTGTCGAGCTGTGAAAGGAAGTGGCTGGAGGTATGCTCTGTGTGGAAGGTGAGCAATAAAGTCTATGTTTGTTCTTGCTTCCCTCCGAGTTTCATTGCAGCCCGCGTTTAGGAGGGAACCCTTCCCACGCTTGTTTTTCGCTGAGGAACTCCGGCTCGCGTTCGCCGGCTGATGGTTGTTGCCCAGAACAGTCCGAGAGGCCGAGCTGCTCGTCTTGGCCACTGGGTGGAGCTGTTGCCACAGATTTGCTGGGGGGAAATGCTTGACCCTCGTTTTCAGGGGGTTTTCTTTTTTTTTTTTTCCTTCTTTATTCCGAACGGGCGTGGGACAAGTTCCTGGGGGGGGGGGGGATCCGACGGAAATTAAGTGTACAAAGAGAGTGTTCCTCTCCTACCTAAATTCTTTAGACCAGAGACTCGTGGAATCGACTCGTGCCTTGCCGTTAAAAACGTTCTGTCTATGGAGCCACAGAGACCGTGCAGGTGTCCAGGCTCTTGCCTTGCAGGCAGCTGACCGTGGCTTTATCCCCGATACCCGGACAGGTTTCCCTCCAGTAGCCAGGAGTGCCGTAAGCAAACCCTGACCACTGCCAGGTGTGACTGAAAAATCACATCTGCTACTGAGATCACGTTGTTTTGGTACAGCCAGTTTTGTTTGAGGTGCTTATTTTTCACCCCGCACTTAGCATTCTAACATGTTCAGATTCGAAATACTTGTCGTCAGTAAAGATTTCTTTTAAGTACATCTTGACAACTGCGTTGCTCTTCAGACTGCTAAATATTTGCTAAGTGTAGGAGTTCCTTCCTGGAAATAAGACTGTCAAGAATTCACATCCTAAAAGTTTAGGATTTCTCCCATTTGCCTGGCATCTGTTTTTATCACTTTTACAGCTTGAGACTCCACAGTCGAGTGATAGGTCTCGTTGTTTTGACAGCTCCGTCGTTTTTGTGGTTACTAGATTGCTTTTCAGATAGAAGAAAGCGCGTGATTCCTTTCTTCCTGATGGCTTGTCTTAAACGTTTTTGTTTTCGGCGTGTGCTCCAAACTAGACCTCCCCCATTTTGAAACCATTAGTGTAGATTGAGATTTCTGAATAGGATATCCGTCTTGTTATTTTAGTCAAATAAAGTTATTTTTATAGACTGTGTCTTTTGATCTGAAGCATATTTTGTTGTTGTTGTTTCTGAGGGCCGCACTCTGCAGTGCTTCAGGGCAACTCCTGGTGGTGCTCCGGGGGTCCCCGGATGGGAGGGGATGCCAAGAATCAGCCACGTGCAAGGCAAACATCCGACCCGCTCTCTGTGTTTGGCACTCCAGCCCCTTCAATGCGTTCTTAGCCTCCACTTCTAGGAAGTAGCAATACCTTGGGCGAGGGATTGTGGAATTTCTTGAAGAAGCGAGGTTTCGGAGGGCCCTTGGGCTCCGTGGGATGTTAAAATAGTGCCTGTTCCTGCCAGGAGTGATTCCTGAGTGCGGGCAGAGCCAGGTGGGACCCAGACAAAGCAAAAGAATGAAATGGCCACGTGTGTGTGAGACCAAGTGCTGTGGTAGTCGGCACCGTCTTGCTTTCTCCTTGGACCAGGAACTAGAACAGGGTGTCAGCGTTGTGTATGAGAGCGGACTAAGACATGCCAGTGTCGCTTCCACTTGTCCTGCGCCCGGAGTGCCAGCTTATAGCTGTGCCCGGCAACCCGGCAGCAAGCTTCCTGCTGGAGAAAGCATTTAAAATCTTCTGTGTATTTTTGACTTTTCTCGCCTCTCAAATCAGCTGTTTTTAACCTTCCATAGCTCTTTGTCAATCTGTCGCTTTTGAGAGGACCTTTCCTTGTGAGTGAAGGCTGCGTCTGTCTCCGGGTATCAGATACACAAGCTGTTTGCCAGCTTTTTTTTTTTCTAACTTCTCACAAGCGTTTATCAGCAACAGACATGCTTTGTGTTGCCACGACTGCAGTTCCCTGTTCACTAAGTTAATGTGCCCGAGGTTCGACCAGAGAGAGAGAGTACAGCGGACAGGACGTGCCTTGCGCAGGGCTGACCCCGGTGTGATCCCCAGCATCTCATATGGTCCCCCAAGGACCCCCCAGGAGTAATTCCTGGGTGCAGACCCAGGAGGAACCCCTGAGCATCAGTGGGTGTGGCCCAAAAAGCAAAAAAAAGAATTTAAAAATGTATCCAAGGTTCGAATCACTGACTTAAGCAGGTCTGTGTGTGTCCGTGTTGGAACCCAAACCTGCCTTTTGGGTACTTTTAGTCACTTACGGAATTTTAAGAGTGGTGGTGAAGTCCCATGTAACTCGCTCCCTGCCATTAGGAGTAGGTGACGGGGCCTCTGGTGGAAGCAGAAAGGGGAGAAAAGCACGTTTCTTTAGAATTGGAGGGAGGCTCTATTAAAAATCGCCTGTATTGGGTCTGGAGAGAGAGCACAGTGGGGAGGGCGTTTGCTGTGCACGTGGCCCACCCGGGTTCGATCCCCAGCATCCCATAGGGTCCCCTGAGCACCAGCAAGAGTAACTCCTGAGTGCAGAGCCAGGAGGAACCCCTGTGCATCCCCGGGTGTGACCCAAAAAAATCAAAAATAATAATAATCTGTATTAAGTCAATTCTATTTTCTCCGAGAGGCGAAGTGGCTTGCGGTTCCAGTTAGTACTTGGCTGCCTTTCGGCTGCTGTCCCGGGCTTTAGAAGCACAAGGACGTGCCCTTCAGGGCAGCGTTCCGTGGCAGATCCAGAAACTGATCTGGGCATGTCAGAGTGACAAGGCAGAGTCCAACCTGGTCGGCACCGCGTTGGGGGTGGCTCACACGAGGCAGCAACCAGCTGGGGCATGAGGATGGCACTAGCAGGCCCGCGCCTTGCCCTGCCCCACTGGGGCCTGTTGGGTTCTATGTCAGCCACTGGCCAAGAGGGAAGAAATGGCCCAAAGCGGGGGAGACGGAGTCCGGGAGCAGAAGCTGAGGACTTACTGGTGCCCGAGCTTCGACCAAGGCGGGTGGCGCCGTGCCCGAGGTGGATGTGGCAGTGGGGCGGGTTGGGGAAATGGGATCATTGAAGTCGATGAGTTGGGGAAAGGACTTGGGTTCCTCGCTCCTGTGCTACTGTGACTGGGCCGTCCCGCCACCCGTACCGAAAGTGCAAGAAGGGAAAGGGGGTTGTCAGGAGCCTGACAGCAGTCGAGGGGTGGGTGGCTTCAGGAGGAGAGGGCCGGGCCTGGGGGCGTCGCACGGGGCAGTCCCCAGGATGATTCTGTGCTGGGCTGGAGTGACAGCGCAGCGGGTAGGCATTTGCCTTGCACAACGCTGACCCGGCCAACCCAGGTTCGATTCCTCCGCCCCTCTCGGAGAGCCTGGCAAGCTACCGAGCGTATCTCGCCTGCACGGCGAAGCCTGGCAAGCTACCTGTGACTTACTGGACATGCCAAACACAGTAACAACAAGTCTCACAATCTGTTGTGAGATGTTACTGGTGCCCGTTCCAGCAAATCGATGAACAACGGGAGGACAGTGCTACAGTGCAGTGTACAGTGTCTTATTATGAAAGTTTTTTTTTTTCTAATTCTACTGCTTGGGCTGGAGTAATAGCACAGCCGAAGGGCGTTTGCCTTGCAGGCAGCCAACATGGCCGACCCGGGTTCGATTCCTCCGCCCCTCTCGGAGAGCCCGGCAAGCTACCGAGAGTATTCGATATGCCAGACACAGTGACAACAACGTCTCCAAAGGAGACGTTACTGGGCCCGCTCGAGCAAGTGGATGAACAAATCAATGAAGAAATCGATGACCTACGGGGGGACAGGGACAGTGATTCCGTGCTAAGTCACCGCAGAGCCGGGGAAGCCCCGGGAGGAGGCACGGGAGCTCGGGGAGGAGGAACCCGGTGGCGGCGGGGCAGGGTCCCCCATGAGCATCCCCGTTTCCCCTGCCAGCCCCGGGGGGACGCCGGGACCCAGCGGCCACCAGGCCCGGTGGGGGCTGCAAAGACGCCCCGAGAGGGAGGCGGGCCGGGGTGGGCCGAGGGCGCCAAGGGCGGGGTGGGGTCCCGGCGGGCGCCCCCAACCTAACCTGCCCCCGGGCTCGCGCTCGCCGGGCCACGTGGGAGGAGCACGTGGCGCTGCCGGGCGACGCCACGAGACGCTGCTCGCGCGGGAAGAGCCGCGTCTCCCCAGGGCGCAGGCGAGGTGCCGCCAGGGCCGAGGCCTCGCGGGTGCTGCCGCCGGGGGCCCGAGCTGCCCGCGCGAGACACCGGCGCTGGGGGCGGCCGCGCCATCTTGGTGGGGCTGAAGTGTGGCCGCGCCATCTTGGTGGCGGCCGAGGGGTGGCCGCGCCATCTTGGTGGGGCTGAAGTGTGGCCGCGCCATCTTGGTGGCGGCCGAGGGGTGGCCACGCCATCTTGGTGGGGGCCGAGGGGCAGCCGCGCCATCTTGGTGGGGGCTGAAGCGTGGCCGCGCCATCTTGGTGGGGGCTGAGAGGCGGCCATGCCATCTTGCTGGGCTGAAGCGTGGCCGCGCCATCTTGGTGGCGGCCGAGGGGTGGCCGCGCCATCTTGGTGGGGGCTGAAGCGTAGCCACGCCATCATGGGGGGGAGGGCTGAAGGGCGGCCGTGCCATCTTGGTAGGGGCGGAGGAGTGGCCGCACCATCTTGGTGGGGCTGAAGCGTGGCCGCGCCATCTTGGTGAGGCTGAAGCGTGGCCGCGCCATCTTGGTGAGGGCCAAGGGGCAGCCGCGCCGTCTGCGTTAAGCCCTCCGCCACCCCCAGCCGTGCTCGAGGGCCGCTCGTGGCGCAGTGCTCCGGCGGGAGCGGGCTGAGCCTGACACCGCCCGGTCTCTCCCGGGACTCAGGCCTGGGGAGCACAAGTCCCTTCGGGGGCCGGAGCCGCAGCGCAGCGGGGAGGGCGTCGCTGGCCTGGCACGCGGCCCGACCCGGGTTCGAGTCCCGGCACCGTCCCCGAGGGTCCCCCGACACCGCCAGGGCTGGCCCCTGGGTGCAGAGCCAGGAGGAACCCCGGGGTGGGACCCAGAGAGGCGAAAGGGGAGAAGGTTGCTCCGTGGCTTTGGTGCTTCGTGGAATCCTGCAGAAAGAGGCTCTG